CACATTACAGCAGTGTAAAAATTAATGAATCAGAAGATTTCAACTTCGAATTAATACTATCAATGATAATGACCAAATTTATGGCTATTTCTTGTTATCAGTATAAATCACTAGGAGGATGAATAGTTGCATCCGGATTACTTCTGTCACCAGGAGCCTTTAATAAATTGTGTATGCGCAAAAAACAAAATACATGCCTAAACTATAGTGAAAAGAATAGCTAGTAATGGCCGCATAAGGCATAAATTGCGTGAAGAATAGTATAAAATTCTCAGTGTTGAAAAGCTTAAAATTTATAAAAAGGACTCAAATATAGTAAAAAATCACCTCAAGATTAACCAGATTTCAATAAGTGCATTGGATTAAAATGAATTATTTAAACTAATTTATTATTGTGGAATACATATATACCTGAGCTAGACTTCTCTTAGTTTTGTTTGTTTTCGCTAAATCCATTGCAGCTAATGCAAGTTCTTTTTGTTTTTGAAGATATTTGAAACCAGTAGAAGATCGCGCGGTCGGATTATCGACATTGTTCCCGGGTAGGTGACATGGCATATCCCATGTGTTAACATGCATTCCCCAGGGGCTATCACATGACTTCTTTTTCTGTCCTGGATTCAAGTGCCCGCGTTTATCGGCGATGAATTGGCTAGGACTTACTCTACGTTGAGCAAACTACAAATAAGGACAAAATGGATAAACGAATATGGCACAAAGTTACTGAAAAGTGGCCTAGAATCATTGTTTGTATTCAAATAATCCTACATAAATGGGCCAATATTAGAAATTTATCATATAATTCTAGCATTGTTATCACTTTTTAAGTAATGCAATATAAAAATAATAATAATACTATATATGTTTTATAAGTGATGAAACTTGATGCATATTCGCTGAATGTGCGGTTTTTAAAAATACAATAAATGTTGATTAATACCAAGCCTTAATCTAGCGTCTTCCTTACTTCCTTATGTTCCCTTGTCGGTCCATATAAATTGTTCCTTTTGGGAAGATAAGCGCTCTCAAACTATTAATTATTGGTGACTAAGTGAAGAGAATACCTGCTGAGCACTATAGTGCTGGGACATAACTAAGGGTCCACGACAGCTAAGTAACCATGGTGATGATTAAAATAACGTAGTATAACTGGTCTAATTTCTGGTTACATTATTTTGCAAAACTAACAAATTCAGATGTAAAAATTATAAATAATGTCGCTAGATAGCACAAAAATTTAGAGGATAATATTGTTAAGATTGACAATTTTTGTATTTGCTAAAGGTAGAATAT